GGAAAAGTGACGAATCGAAAGTATCGTGAGCACGTATTATGATGTATGCACAGGCATACGTGGACTAGAGCGATAGAGGAAAGAGAAAGGGAAGAGCAAAGACGAGCGCTTAAAAAGAAGGATAGGCAAGGTCAGACCCTCAGATGTGCGATGATTCTCGAACGAATAGGTGTGTACTGTACATGTGCTGATATTTGCAATTATAAATTGTAAATACAAGTGACTAATATTATGTTCTTTTTTATTTTGTACATGTTATAAGTTATAAATAAATATAAACAAACAACACTAACCCGATAACATTAAATCTAAATACCAAAATGATTAATTTACTATGTTTTTGTTATTTCTTACTCCTGTTTTTAGATATTCGGTATTCGGCCGAATAGCGAAAAATAGGCAGAATAGACCGAATACCGAATAGTAACCGAATATTCGTTACATCACTAGTAAAAATGTATTTAATAATGTACTGGAAGCCAACTGTGTTCAGTTACGATCTGTGGGGAAAAAAATTAAAGTTACTTAAATACATAACTAATTGAAAATTTAATTTCTTAAACTTCATTACAGCAGTCCAGAATTTAAAACGTCATCAACACAACAATTTAATTAAGTGGGTTAAATAAAAAACAAGCCATTTTCAAAAGAAATCTGATGACTTCGAAGCTTTGCTTATAAATTTATTTAAAACATGAACTTTGGAATAATGATTTCTCTATCTGAAAACTTCATAACTAATTTTGTTTATTAAAAATATTATATTTATCACTCATAAACGATAAAATGAGTACAAAATACAATTGTGAATGTTTCCTTCATATAAATAATAATAAGTATTTTGTAAATTCAAATTTTACATCAAATTACATTTTCATACACGTGCTGTTAATCATCAAGTATCTTTAAGTTTTAATATATCAGTCTGTAATATGTAATATATAATCATAACAACAAAAAATTTTAATTAAATATGGAAGTCGATAGCACTTGAAATTTCTGAAAAGAGCTCTGATAATTTCATAAATTTTTTATTATTAAACTTCACATAAATATTTGTTTATGGAATATATTTTATTATTCTAAAGATAATATTTATCTGAGATTTTATCAAGCAGTTCAAATCGCTATTGTGTCTGATATCCTTTGTTAATTTTGTATTGTATAATCTTAAACATTGGAGACTTTATCTAATCGAAAATATTGTGAAACAACTCGACTTCAACCCTTTTAATCCTTGACAATATAAGCATTTTTCTACTAATAATAATCTATGCAAACGTCATTTATTTTCATTAAATATAATTGATTTTATGTGTGTTTGATCTTTAAGTAAATATATGTAAATTTAAATAGAACTGTAGATATACTCGTTGTAAACAAAGTTATTGTATACATCCTGGAAATGTGAATAGAAGTCGCTTTATCTTCTAAAGGTTATTCGATATAAGTGATTATTGTGATAATCAGATAAATTATTTAATGTAAATTTTCTATCGAAAACATAAGTGGGTGTAAATGGTTCTCTAGAAATGGAAATTGTGTACGAATGGAAATTAGTTATTGGATTTGTAATACTTCTTTCAATTCTTTATATATGGAAGAAAAAGAGCAGAAATAAACAGGGAGACGGAATACCGCAATTCTCCACTTGGGCCTATATTTGGAATCTGATTTTCTGTCCAGTAAAAGCTCAGGAATTTCAAAAGCTTTGTGGCACTTGTAAGTGTAATTTGAGAATGTTCGTTTAAATCTTGTGATATAAATTTATTATCATTATTTACGAAATTTTTTTACGAATAACGATCAGTAAAAGTAAATGTCTTATTAATTAAATAAATTTTCTAGTAATTATTCAAATACTTAATGGTGCATCTATTGCAACGTTAAAAAAGAAATTATACAAAATTTCCTGGGGTGGCTATCATTATATTGCATTATCTCATCCCGAAGTGGCTCAGGTATAATTGTTTTAACACATATTATTTACATGTTTTTAAAGTTAACAATTGATTATTTAACATAGGAAGTACTGAAGAGTTACACCGTGATCAACAAAGATTGGATTTATAATATTCTTCATCCATGGCTGGGAACGGGTCTTTTAACAAGGTAAACGATGATTGAATATGTCACATTAATTAAAGTATTGATTTATTTGTTTACAATCGAAACAGTTCGAACGATAAGTGGAGAAATCGTAGAAAATTATTAACTCCGGCATTTCATTTTCGAATTCTCGAAGATTTTCAAGGAATTTTCAACGATCAGTCAAACATCTTAATTGAAAAGTTAAAGGAAAAACAGGAAAATAAAGAATTTCTTATGGATGAGTTGATTACGCTTTGCACTTTGGATGTTATTGAAGGTAAGAATTATTCAATGTTTCCTAGTAGGAAATAAGGTTGACAACTGTCCGGAATTTCAGTTATTTAAAGAAAATAGCGAGATTGCGGCGAAAGTTTTCATGTCTAAAACGTTAACGCCGCTATCTTTTAAGCGGCGCTCGACGTTCGACGTTCACTTTTCAGAGATGAAAACTTTGGCCGCAAACTCTCTATTGTCCGGAAAACGAAAACTATTCGAAAATGTTTTGAAAAATAAACTAGTTAAGAATGATTATTTTAAATTTTTGTTTGTACGCTTATAGAAATTTGGAATTTTTTATTGTAAAGTCCTCACATTTTTTTATATTTCTGGTGTCTCTTTCATTTCTGTCTCTTTTCATTCTCCGGTCATTCAATAAGAGGACATGCTTTGATCATACCCATTAGGAGTTCGGCCAGCTCCACGATAGGAGGCAGCAGGATAATGAGATACGGAGCTCTCGACATTCCCAAATGGAACCCATAAAATACTTTTTCCGGTGTTCCTCACAATAACAGTCTGACGCTTTAACTTCCTCATCTATTGGGATGTATAATTGTCTTCATAATCATCAATGGAAAGAAAAAATATTCTCATGTTTTTTTGTCAACTTTGTTTTGGCCCAGCACTTTCTGAAATTTGTCTTTATTCACTTTATTTTCAAATTTTGCTATTGTGAATGTTGACAACCTTAGTAAGAAAGGTGTATATTACGTATATTATTTTAATTATTATTTACAGATTCAGCCATGGGAATGCATATTAACGCTCAAAATCGATCTGATACTGATTATATCATTGCCATTAATGAGTAAGTTGAAAAAATTAATGACAAATCTAAATAAAACCTTTCTATTCAGATCTCTTGTAAACGTGTTTCCTTAATTCTTCGTATTTTAATTGCTTTCTATCTCTTTCGACTATTGTACGATGATCTCAGTTACAATATTACGAGTAATCGTAATTACAGTAGATGACAATGGATGACAGGTTTTAGTCTTTTTGCTAAAGTATAAAAATTCTTAATTGCGCTATAGACACTCGATTGACAATCTGAGAAGGCGGGTAATTTTGGCTACAGGGCCTTCATACAGTATGTATGAAGTCCCTTAAATAAGTCCCTTCCGATTTCCTTTCCCATTTTTTTTGTAGAAATAAATTACGTAAAACGTTTATTTATTAGTAAAAAGTAGTTTTAAAGATTAGTTTTTATGGATGGATGGAACTATACTTATTAAACTGATCTACTGTGATTACTACCACTACTGTGATTTTTTCTTCGTGTAGGTTAACATCTTCCGCTCTATTTCCCTCTCGGTGGCCCTGGTTGACCCTTAAACCAATAGCAATATCACAACTTTCGTTAAGATATAGCTTTACAAATGAAAACTGTGACAATAAGCAATACAACCATGTTCATTTTTTTAAAAATCTCTTTATCTTATATTTTAAATATGCTTCCTGTAATTCTAAAATATTTCTTAAAGTTTGAAAAATATTTCAATTTCTTCAAACCTTTATAAATCACATTGTGTTTCTTAATTCAGAATAACATCTGCACTTGCTGAATGGTTTGCAAAGCCTTGGTATTGGTTCAGTCCCATTTTCAACTTGAGTCCATTAGGAAGAAAATTTCACAAAGACATTGAAACCGTTCACGAATTCGACAGAAAGGCAAGTTTATTTGTTTTCATTGTTAAACCATTAACGTAATTAAGAATGGAAACAATTCAGGTAATCAGAGAAAAGAAACAGAAAATGATCGAAGAACTGGAAGACAATCAAACAATCGACAACTTTCAAGAAGAGAAAGAAGTTACAGGAGTCAAGAAAAAGCGAGCATTTCTTGATTTACTACTTTATCATCATTTAACGGATGGAAGTCTCAGCGAAGAGGATATCAGAGAAGAAGTCGACACTTTCATGTTCGAAGTAAAACGAGTTTTATTCACAAATTTAGAAATAAAAATGTTTGTGTTTAAAGAAATTTGTTATTTTAAGGGACACGACACAACTGCTATGGGAATTAGTTGGTCTCTTTATCTGCTGGGATTGCATTCCGATATACAAGAGAAAGTGTACCAGGAACTGCAGGAAATTTTTGGTGAAGACATGGATAAATCTATTACGACCGATGAGCTTAAAAGAATGAAGTATCTGGAATGTATTATCAAGGTAATAATTTAGTTTTAAACTTATAGGTGAGCAAGGATGACACTTTGTTAGATAGTGTCTTACGGCAAGGACGATCGAGTATTTCCGATGTTTTCTAGGCTTTTCTCTATTTCGAAGTATTCAGAAAGGCTTTTGTAATTAGACTCTATAGAATTGCAATTCAGATTTTTTTTTATGTATAAACAATCTAGACTCTTAAATACTAGATTCTATCAGGTAGTTAAGTCTCCTCAGATTCGTCAGTAGTGCCCATATACAATATAGATAATATAAATTTTCATCACGTAAAATTAAGCCACTTTTACTTATTTCCATACTTAAACAGTAGTTAGTAGATCTACTGCTAGAAAAATAGCAAGCACAATTTTGAATTCGTCTTTCTAATTCTTCTCGAAAATAAAACAAAAATTGATTCAATTATCAGGTACTCGATAACATTTTAAAATATCGGAGTAATTGCAGGAAACACTCAGGCTCTATCCTCCGGTTTCAGTCATATTGAGAAAAAATCCTTCCGATATGAAAGTAGGTATGTATTGCATTTTGAAAGTAATTACATATCGGAGCAATGATATAAGTTGCATCGAAAACAATTAAATTTTCTTTCAGGTAATTATATCTTGCCAGCAAATTCGTCTCTTGCAGTAAACATTTATGGAATTCATCATAATCCAACGGTGTTTGAAAATCCCGAAGTGTTCGATCCGGATCGATTTCTACCAGAAAACTGCGAGAAACGTCATCCCTTTGCATTTATACCATTCTCTGCCGGTCCACGCAATTGCATAGGTGAGTAATTGCGACACGAGACAAAGGCCTTCCTGTTTTTCTGATGTATTTACATTTCTTCAGGTCAAAGATTCGCCATGATGGAGATGAAGACAGTTTTAGCCAATGTTCTTCGACATTTTCGAGTGAAATCTATGGACCACAGCATCTATTGGGATGTATAATTGTCTTCATAATCATCAATGGAAAGAAAAAATATTCTCATGTTTTTTTGTCAACTTTGTTTTGGCCCAGCACTTTCTGAAATTTGTCTTTATTCACTTTATTTTCAAATTTTGCTATTGTGAATGTTGACAACCTTAGTAAGAAAGGTGTATATTACGTATATTATTTTAATTATTATTTACAGATTCAGCCATGGGAATGCATATTAACGCTCAAAATCGATCTGATACTGATTATATCATTGCCATTAATGAGTAAGTTGAAAAAATTGTTAATGACAAATCTAAATAAAACCTTTCTATTCAGATCTCTTGTAAACGTGTTTCCTTAATTCTTCGTATTTTAATTGCTTTCTATCTCTTTCGACTATTGTACGATGATCTCAGTTACAATATTACGAGTAATCGTAATTACAGTAGATGACAATGGATGACAGGTTTTAGTCTTTTTGCTAAAGTATAAAAATTCTTAATTGCTCTATAGACACTCGATTGACAATCTGAGAAGGCGGGTAATTTTGGCTACAGGGCCTTCATACAGTATGTATGAAGTCCCTTAAATAAGTCCCTTCCGATTTCCTTTCCCATTTTTTTTTATAGAAATAAATTACGTAAAACGTTTATTTATTAGTAAAAAGTAGTTTTAAAGATTAGTTTTTATGGATGGATGGAACTATACTTATTAAACTGATCTACTGTGATTACTACCACTACTGTGATTTTTTCTTCGTGTAGGTTAACATCTTCCGCTCTATTTCCCTCTCGGTGGCCCTGGTTGACCCTTAAACCAATAGCAATATCACAACTTTCGTTAAGATATAGCTTTACAAATGAAAACTGTGACAATAAGCAATACAACCATGTTCATTTTTTTAAAAATCTCTTTATCTTATATTTTAAATATGCTTCCTGTAATTCTAAAATATTTCTTAAAGTTTGAAAAATATTTCAATTTCTTCAAACCTTTATAAATCACATTGTGTTTCTTAATTCAGAATAACATCTGCACTTGCTGAATGGTTTGCAAAGCCTTGGTATTGGTTCAGTCCCATTTTCAACTTGAGTCCATTAGGAAGAAAATTTCACAAAGACATTGAAACCGTTCACGAATTCGACAGANTTTATAAATCACATTGTGTTTCTTAATTCAGAATAACATCTGCACTTGCTGAATGGTTTGCAAAGCCTTGGTATTGGTTCAGTCCCATTTTCAACTTGAGTCCATTAGGAAGAAAATTTCACAAAGACATTGAAACCGTTCACGAATTCGACAGAAAGGCAAGTTTATTTGTTTTCATTGTTAAACCATTAACGTAATTAAGAATGGAAACAATTCAGGTAATCAGAGAAAAGAAACAGAAAATGATCGAAGAACTGGAAGACAATCAAACAATCGACAACTTTCAAGAAGAGAAAGAAGTTACAGGAGTCAAGAAAAAGCGAGCATTTCTTGATTTACTACTTTATCATCATTTAACGGATGGAAGTCTCAGCGAAGAGGATATCAGAGAAGAAGTCGACACTTTCATGTTCGAAGTAAAACGAGTTTTATTCACAAATTTAGAAATAAAAATGTTTGTGTTTAAAGAAATTTGTTATTTTAAGGGACACGACACAACTGCTATGGGAATTAGTTGGTCTCTTTATCTGCTGGGATTGCATTCCGATATACAAGAGAAAGTGTACCAGGAACTGCAGGAAATTTTTGGTGAAGACATGGATAAATCTATTACGACCGATGAGCTTAAAAGAATGAAGTATCTGGAATGTATTATCAAGGTAATAATTTAGTTTTAAACTTATAGGTGAGCAAGGATGACACTTTGTTAGATAGTGTCTTACGGCAAGGACGATCGAGTATTTCCGATGTTTTCTAGGCTTTTCTCTATTTCGAAGTATTCAGAAAGGCTTTTGTAATTAGACTCTATAGAATTGCAATTCAGATTTTTTTTTATGTATAAACAATCTAGACTCTTAAATACTAGATTCTATCAGGTAGTTAAGTCTCCTCAGATTCGTCAGTAGTGCCCATATACAATATAGATAATATAAATTTTCATCACGTAAAATTAAGCCACTTTTACTTATTTCCATACTTAAACAGTAGTTAGTAGATCTACTGCTAGAAAAATAGCAAGCACAATTTTGAATTCGTCTTTCTAATTCTTCTCGAAAATAAAACAAAAATTGATTCAATTATCAGGTACTCGATAACATTTTAAAATATCGGAGTAATTGCAGGAAACACTCAGGCTCTATCCTCCGGTTTCAGTCATATTGAGAAAAAATCCTTCCGATATGAAAGTAGGTATGTATTGCATTTTGAAAGTAATTACATATCGGAGCAATGATATAAGTTGCATCGAAAACAATTAAATTTTCTTTCAGGTAATTATATCTTGCCAGCAAATTCGTCTCTTGCAGTAAACATTTATGGAATTCATCATAATCCAACGGTGTTTGAAAATCCCGAAGTGTTCGATCCGGATCGATTTCTACCAGAAAACTGCGAGAAACGTCATCCCTTTGCATTTATACCATTCTCTGCCGGTCCACGAAATTGCATAGGTGAGTAATTGCGACACGAGACAAAGGCCTTCCTGTGTTTCTGATTTATTCACTTTTGTTCAGGTCAAAGATTCGCCATGTTGGAGATGAAGACAATTTTAGCCAATGTTCTTCGACATTTTCGAGTGAAATCTATGGACCACAGAGATAAGATTTTCGAATCTGGTGACATCATTCTCCGTCCGAAATTCGGAATAAGAATGACCATTAAAAAACGATGAAAGAAATTAATATAAATTTTAAATTATATATAGCGCTAATTTGGTTTGGTTAGTGTTAATTTTAGGGAAATGCTAACACTCAGAATTATTATGAAAATTGTAGTTTTTTACATTCATTGGCATATACAGAATTAAGAGGAGAAAAGAGGACAAGGGAAGGAGAGAATAAAGATTAAGGAAGAGGGATAAGGAAAAGTATGTTAATTAATAGCAAAGTAAATTAAATATGGTATAAGATTATTATTTATGCATAATTATATTTTTTACCATTATAATTTCATCATCAGTACAAATATCAGTTTAACTTGTATGAATTAAATTCGGTTGTTGATATCAAATAAGTAAATCATAATACATTTTTATTATTTTTGTATGTAAGGATATGTATATTTTTGTACATAAAAAGTATATTTGTATAGAATTTTACTTGTGTATATGTTATTTTCGGTTTCAAATATATACAGTTTGAAAGGAATGATCTTGTGCTATTTTCCTATCTTTTATGAAACAGTAAGAGCAATTGATGCAGGAAGAACATCTAATAACAGATTCAAGTTTGAGATTTAGAATTCACATAATTTAGTTATAATGTCGCTTATAATGCAAAATCGTGCATTTATTAATTCAAAATACTAAAGAATTTCCAAATATTTATAAAAAGGATTCGTTGATATGCATTCGTTGGCGCTATATCGAGAGTTGGACTATTTAGACAAACGCTATATCGAGACTTGGCAATTTCTAAAGTATTCAGAAAGCGACATGCACGCAGATGGAGGAAAAAATGCTAAATTTTTTGATAGGTTAAGCAAAATTCTTTGAGGAACAAATCTATATTATTATATTCTGTCCTTGATGAAAGTAGACTCATCTCTACCACGTTAGAAAGCTATAAATACAGGTATTATTTTTATAATTATTTCTATTTTTTAAATTTTTTAAAGCAATTATTTATATAAATAATTCGATTTTGCAACCTGTTTACGTATAAAAATACTCGTAAATTTATCAGAAGATTGTAAGAATTACGGAATGAAAACCTTTGTAATATTTATTCCCATTACTTCACTCCCAAAATTTCGAGTTTAACGTCAAAATATAAGCCCTAAAACGATAAAGGAACGTATAAAATTTACGAATTTTCTATATATATTCTCACTTGTAATTTTTAGAAAAATTTATGAATTATTTAAATTATTAATTTGTTTGGAAGAGTAAAGGAAAAATATTGAGGTCAGAGGCAATAACTGGGAAATTTAGCTGTCAAGGCTGACCTATAACCTCAGGGATGGTGCTTAAACAATAATTTAATAATAAATAAGGAAAATAGAATATTTATTACGTTATTTTGTAAAAAAAAGTTAAATATAATTGGAAAAATAAGAATTAACGCACTCGTAATTTCTATTAAATAAATGAAATTGAAAAAAAATCAATAAAGTCGGAGAGAGAGAGAAAAAAATATTCACTCAATTATGACGTAATGAAAATCATCCCCTCTTTACGACAGCTCAATTGTCACTCCTCATTTACAACTGATATAATACACAGTTTTTATCAATAACTGTAAAGAAACTAGTGTTTAAGTGACGTGCTTCTTTGTTAGTTATATTATTAATATATAATATAACTACATTTCCTTGAACGTAATCTCGTGACACTGAAACAATAGAAATCATATAATAGATTTAGCCTATTCACATAAATTTACATAGATTTTTACATAGGAGTAAGACTCAGTACTGTACTATAATTCATTCACACGAATTGACGTTGATAATATTCATACTTCGAATTACGGTGGCTTCGAAATATAAAAAACAATACTGAATGTTCTTGAAATATTTAGAATAATTATTAAATTATTTAGGTGTAATATGGCACTAGAAAACGTTTTCTGCTATTTTTCCTCTAAATAAAGTTCCTATAATATATTTAACTTGTTACTAAATCCGATTGCCAACTTTAGTAGGTCATATGATTTGTCAAGGTGGAGTATCAACACACTTCAGAATAATGGCGGATTATGCAAGAAACTTAATACAATATTGACCAAATTGGGAAAAGTAAAAGATAATTTTTACCCGTATTTTTCCTTTATTCTACTGTACATTACAATGAACAATAGGTGTGTTCAATAAATATATAAGTGTAAATTTCTGTGGTGCAATAGATCAGTGGGAACAGATCAGTTACGTATTAGGACAAAAATTATTTTAATAGACTCTTGGTTACTTTTTTAAGAGAAAGTAATGAAGTATTTACACTTATTCTCTGTGCTCTTATTTGTTTTAATACTCGAATATTTCTAATTATTTATTAGAAATTTAGTCGTACTTCCTTATTTTTGTTACTACAAATACCAGTCAATCCAGTTTAATTTCAATACCTTAAGAAAGTTTCGATTAATAATTGAATAAAGACATTATATTTACGTCATGAATTACGTAGCTTAATTAATTAATGAAATCAAAGAGAAATACAGAAATCGTAAACAGTTGAAGGAAGTAAATGGCATCTAAACAATTGAGAATATAAGTAATTTTTCTTAAAAATATTAGTAAAAAATAATTGAAAACGTGTATAAAAGTTCTCTCTGAACTGTCCTTCAGTTTAATTGCTGCACAAATTTAAAATATTTTACACATTTATTTAAAACTCTCGAAATTGTAGCTTCGATTATGTTAAATTGTTAAATTGGTTACTGACAAATGCAATTGAGGTGTCAGCTTATGAAAGGAACAGATTTTACTAGTTCAAAGTTCAAGTTATTGTTCCCATTCTGTCATTAGGAGGAAAACTTGTTAATCTATTACGTATTTGACATACGAACAATATATACTTCACCATTACAAATTAATACACTAAAAAATATCGTATAAATTATAATATTTTAGACAGAGGAAGAGAACCTTTTAATAGTGTGTGACTAGAATAAATACTCCAAAATATATCTAAAATTATCAATTTATAAAAAAAAGAGGAAAGTTATCGACATTTTACTGTACTATATGCTTTTTTGGGGTATAAAATAAATTTACCAGACTTAATAAAAAATTATGAATAGACATGTCCTCCACACTGTACTGAAAAGTAGGACATATCTCTTTATTTTTCTAGCACTTTATAATGCCATAAATATTATAAAATTCTAATATTATAGTATATACGTTCCATATTTTTAAGAATTAAATTATAATTTAATTATAATTCGTATGTAGTTACCAAAAATTCATACAAACTTTGATAAATACACACGCTTTAGAATACGTGTAAATGAATTCGCGCGTGATTAATTGTGCCCTGTAGGAATTTATCTCAAGGACAAGACTTAATTTATGTAAACTGACACACTAGACATATTAATGAGCACGTTTGTTTCTAGTTTTATTGTCACGACAGTGAATAATAGCAACAGAAAATAAGTGAAAATTCCATCTAAGGTATTGACTCTTCCAAATAGTACAGCTCCTGCATACAGTAGGTCTTATAAAAGAGCTAAATTAGGTAATTTATCTTGTGCAGGATGTAGTTACTTCATTATAACGCCTATTTAATTGAAGGCATTTTACTCTTTCGAAATACTTTAGCTTTATAAAACTGTCATTCGAAAAGAGTGAATAAAAAACACAAAATAATAAAGAAACTCTCAAAAGAGAAAATTGCTTCTACAGACTTGCTTTATAGTTTGGTTCATTAAAAAGAAAGGGTCAGCTGTTTCCCACTAGACCTTGCAGAACATAAATGTAAACAAATCAGCAGTCAATCAAAGTAGTCAACATCAAGTCAATCAAAAACCTATTTTATGTGTTAATTTTGCTAGATATTTTTTTAACGCGACGACTCTGGAATATAAAATGATAATTGGCTTGTGTGTCGAAATTTTTAATTGGCTGCTGATTTGAAAGCCCAAAAAATAACCAGAGAGACAAACAATATTTTTGTCCGCCAAACAGAAAAATAGTAGCTTAATTTGGCAGAAAGCATTCGAGGTTTGGCTGCTTTGTGCCAACATGGCGACTAACAGAATTCATTACATGCCTGACCTTGGTTTCTGTCTCTTATATGACGTTTATATGTGTGACAGTGTCACTTCCAGTGACACTGTCACACAGTAATGCAACTCCAACTTTTCCCGTGCAACAGTCCCGTGCAACTCCAACTTTCACCGTTTTCCCGTGCAACAGTAATGAGTGAGGCAACTCACATTTTTAGCAAGTTATGACTGCCAAATCGAGCCAAAGCCTTGCATACTACCTGTCATTTGTAGACGTACCAGTATTGGTAGACGTAACAGGGATTAGATGATGAAACTAAACCAATTTTTAGTATGTTTGGACTTATACTTCAAGATAATACTTTGAACAAAATAATATTTTTATTCTTATTTATTTTTTAAGAATTACTTTAATTACGGTGTGAGCTATTATTTTAAATTACACTCAGTTATAAAGCATTAAATTAAAAGAGCAATGTTGTTTTCGTCCTTCTAGTTAGAGAAATATAAAATTATTTTTGTATTTATCTATAAGAAAAAAAAACTTTATTCACTCTTATTTTTATAATTGTTTTAATAAGAATGACATAAAAATCGTTTTAACTTTTTTCTTAAAGTAATAAATGCTTGTTGTAAATGAAAACAGCATTTTAAATGCAAATTACCGATTCAATTCACCTGTCAGCTTATATAATTTAGCTTTTGATACGAATTATTATATAAGTAGGATAAATCGAAGCATTGTGCGCATTTATAAAAGGAAAATAATTGTAATTATACCGTATAAAATGTTATAGAAATCTTATTAATTTAATAAACTTAAATTTCAATATTATATATGTATATTTGGTTAATATTGCTGCATGAAACAGGGGATACATTTAGGTAGGTTTGAGTGTCTTCGAGGTTTTACCAAAAGTTATTGAAAGTATAGGATAAAGTTACCATAATGTGAGGAACTATGGAGTAATAATGAAGCCGCAAGTCATTGATTTGAGTGTAACACATCATTGAGCTTGTGTTTAGCATGAAATTAAGAATGAAGTAAACTTCTCATGGCTTTGGAAGGTTGACAATCAAAGTGATTCAGCAAGTGATTAACATTATTGGATAATAAATATAATTTATATATACAATTAAAGCGCCTTTGATAAGAGATCATTTGCATTATTTTGATAAAATAGATAAGAAACTGAAAGATAAGTTAGGTTAATATTATTCCAAATCCTGGATTAACCTTATTTCAAGGCATAAATTCATTACATATGTTCTCAGTCGACTAAGAATCAACAGAAAGGACATATGTACATATGTACAGTACATAATTATAAAAACTGTACTTACGAAAAGAAAATCCGGGAGGTTATTCCACTCAGTTGTTGGAGTATTTACTTATGAAAACAGCCATTTATAACACAGCACTTACAGTACGATGTACAGCACCTGTGTTACGTGTAGTTAGTGCAAAAGTTTAAACTACACATAACCATTGGGGACATATAACTACTACTGTCACCTACTTTTTCGTATGAAAATTAAGTAACTTAAATAACACGTGGAGTTGTAACAATGAAAATAAATATTTTTCGTTTTTGGGCCAAAGTTACTGCGAGACAACGTTACCACAAATTACTGATATTGTTTACTTTTATATAGATTTGGCGTTTATATAGGCTTGGTCATTGTAAAAGTGATCAGAAAATGAGTTGCGTAACTTTCTAGGCAAAAAAAAGTTTAAATTGTGTGTCGCCATCTGTTAAGTGATTTTATTTAAAAACTTTTTATATTAATTATATAATTAATTAATATAAAAAAAGGGATAAGGAAGATGCTGGAAGACTTACAGGATGGCATTAGATACGAGATAATAAGCACCTTGGTGCTGAACAGAGAAAAGTGGAGGATAAAGTAGATAAATCTTGCTGTTTCTTTAGCAGAGAACTAATAATGATGATGATGATGATAATTAATTATTATAAAATGGCAAATAGCTTAATTTTAAGGGCAGAGACGAGCTTTATAAAAATTAAAAGCGGTAATAACGACATGTTTTGTTCTTACAAAACACTTTTGTTGGTAGAAATTTGGCAAGACGATTTGGGAAAACGTATCTAAGATTTAATTTACTCATGTAAAAATATCACAAGAAAGCCGAATAAAAAATACGAAGTATTCAAAATGTCAAAAACGATAATATAATAAAAAAATCACTTTACTTGCTTAGAAATATTGAATTTATTATTAAATCTTAAGAATTTTATGATAATTTCCTGCGAATTAAGCTGTAAGACATGTAGGTAAACAATATTTTCAATAGTTTTCAAAAGAATGAAAGAAACAATAAAATCCAAGGCCAAATTGTAACAAACAAATTCGTCTTATAAAACGTAGAAGGATGCGAATTAATCATATGTTACGTAAAAGAAAATGTTGGCGGCGCTACTCCCTAATCATTTGCTTGTAATAAGTGTAATTTTTATTTCAGGAATATTTTTTATCTTTAAAGTATTCAACAGTGAAAGAAGAAAGATGTCTGTCGACACCAAAAACACGAATGTTTGGGATAAGATTTTCTCGTTTGGTAAGTATTACGTATTTTTATTTTATCTACTCGAAACCTCAGCCTTATGAATCTGCTGCTAAATTTTTAAATATAATTATTAATATATATATTTTTTCGAGTAATAAGTCTTACTTAATGTTATATTCTTATGAGTCTGTATAATTCCTTAATTTCTTGAGTACTGTTGGAAATACAGGACTACACTGAATCAGGAGATTATCTGATCGACTGAGTGAGTGCCTTTCTTTTAAAAGCCTCTTAGCATTGTCCTTTAGCCAATATGAGGTCTTTATTTTCTGTTAGACCGATGATATTTTTGTTTTGTTTCCTATATACTAGAACAAGACATTCACCTAACCTTTCATTCTGATGTGTACCAATACAATAAGTATACATTCACTTGTTAAAAAGTAAACTTTAAATAATAAACAAACGTCATGTGTAGTTAGTGTGGTGAAACCTGTGTAAACCGGACTGATATGGTGCCAAATATTTCTTTCGATTTAGCATGTTTCCTTTATATTAAAGTTCTGTTTTTTACAGGTTTTACAATATTCAATTGTGATTTTTCTTCCATTCGTCAATATTATGAAATCAACTCTGTCCGCGTTTGACAGGTTACGACGTTCGGATACCTTTTATTATGTTAATGTAATCGTTTTATTGAAAAATATTTGAACTTTCTATCTTTTGAAAGGTTTTCGCTTAACCCAGGTTCCGGCTTTCGCAGGTTTCACTGTAATATTATTTTATTTAATTAAATAAATTGTATAAACAATACTATTATTCTTATATTGATATAGTGATTTGTCGGATAGAAATACATTTACAAACTATTTTATTTAAATAATTGATTTATGCAAATTAATGCGCATTAAATGTTTTTAAGTATGGCATTTTATGGCTGTAGTGAGTACCATTTTCAATTATTATAACATATTTTGCTGAATTTATTTTAAAGTTTAGGATACGGGTATTGTATAGTGGCAAACATTCTTCTCCTCATGTGATCAATAATAGCGAGTTTGAGCATTATATTTTCCATTATGCTTTACACTTATGGTCTATTGTGGGCTTGGCTAAACCGATAAACATATTATTTAGGATGACAGTGGTCTATTTGTTTTCTATTACGATTGAAAACCAAAATTGATTTTAATAAATGTTCCTTGTCTTAATTTTTCTACCTTCACGTTATACTTAATTTGTATTCTTAATAATAAAAACGCTAGCAGCTTAGTAAGAGATATTTCTCCAGTTGACTTCCCCTGTCAGTTGCGACAAAACACCGACAGTGTAACTATGTTATTCTGCCAATTTATCGCCATCACAAACGATTTTTTGGAACGAATATTCAGGGCTGACGAGCCAAAAATTGTCGCTTAAGGCGAGCCAAGCTTATGACTCTCTGTTTTCTTAGTTGTTCGTGAAGTATGAGCAAAGGAAAGGCAATAACACGTTTTTTTATATAGATTTACGGCAATAGAAATGGAATAAAGTTTCTCGTAATATTTTAAATTTGATTATTTATTACAAAAAGAAAACAAAAAAACTATTCTCATATAAATACAAATACACACATATTCAACTTTTAGGCCTAATGACTAGAGTTCTTATAGTACTAATCAAGTCAAACCATCTGCAAAAGTAAATTTCACAGGCAAAACTTTGCTAAAATATTCTATGAATAAATATACAGAATAACCAAAAACATTCGCTCGAATGTGTTGATATCTGGGGTTCTGTCTAAAATTATACTGTAATATTTATGATCATTAATAATAACATTTGTCTTTCGAACCATTTGTCCCATTAGACAAATAAGGTTTATTTTGTGTATCTTTATTTAAATAATGCGAAGATTCTCGGATGACTTCTTAAGCGTTAACTTGTAACAGGGTTAAATTTTGATAGTAACTTCAACATTTTTTTAAATTTCCATTGTTTGGTGTAAATATTTTATCACAACTTTCTCTCGATTCTAAAAGCTGTATAACTGAGATTATTCTCTTTAATATATCTCATAAATGTTTTCGTTGAAGTTATAAGATTCTAGCGAATAATCATTTTCTATAATCAACAGAATGCAACAGAAAACTAGCAGAATATCTCATTTGTTTGTCTGTCTTGATGAAAAATATCAGTGCCAGTGCAGTCTGGCGAGGCCATAAATAAAAACAATAAACCGCCAATTAACGTATTTACATTGATAAATTATCAAATAAGCCAACAAAGTAAATTATTTACATGTTGTATATTGAAATGAATAAAAATTTCACTATGTGATCCGAAAATTCCTCCCTATTAAAAGGGCCCTTGAGGAGATCGCCTCGCCCCCTTAAACCACGCACCTGCCCTGTGTATACTGAAGATGCATACATCCACTTTCTAATTGTATTATTGCATCGATCAATTATTAAATTATTTTAGAAAAATCTATGGACTTATAAGAGAAAATTTCATTTAATAATTCTGTAATGATTATGTGTGAGCCTTTCAAAACACTTTCCGCCGAGTACCTCTTCTACTCTTTGTTGCTTGTGTCTTACCTGGAATTTTTTTTTTTTATCTTTTAACCTTCAAGATTGAAACTATCTCAAAAGTCCCATTTGTTACAATGAAGTACACACATGCAGATTCCCGAATATTATGTAATACAGATTTCTTAATGGTAGTGGTAAAGTGTATTTATTGCATACCACATGAAAAATGCAAAAGTATCTATATTTTCTAGCTATTCAAATATATCGTTCGCGTATTAATAGTTGAGATGTATTATGAATGAATTTAAATAAAGTTTACCAATTACACGTGTCTATTGTAGTTTCAAAGAAGATGGATGAACCTGAAAACGAATTGAAATTGTATAAAGAGTTGCCATCAATCTCAACTTTGTCACTTCTTTGGAATTTTCTCTTCTGCCCTAATAAAGCGCAAAATTATGAAATACTCTGTGGCTCTTGTAAGTATACATAATCTCTTCTCTGTCTGGTGATATTATAAATGTTTAAACATTAAATTTTTAAATTATTTTAAGTAACGTTTTAGATAGTACTTTTATAAACATGTAAAATATTTGCTTAATTTAATGTACTCGTAGAGTTTGAAAAAGTTAGAGATTGTGAATTTCCTTTAAAAAGATAGAAATATTGAAACGTGCTTATTAAAAATCATATTAATCCGCTTAATAAAACGTACTTCATACTACTAAAAGTAGTATAAAGTATGCACTAGGACACAAGTAGACGAGTGGATAAAGCCACCGAATGAATGTACGCACGTATAAACATAGATACGTATAGTTATATACATGTATGTTCAGTGTATATATGATAAAGATAGGTATACACACAAACATTCAAATATCAGCAAATACAATAGATACATCTAATTGATCTTTTAAAACAATCATTATATAAAATTGGGCTGCAAATTTTAAATTGCACACCTGTTTTGTAGTCATTTTATTTATTTGTCTGTTCTTTGTTAATCTAGAAAACTTATCTAGATTGATGAGCGGTATGACTCGAATATTATCAAAAGTATGATGTACTGTACGTACTGTACAGTACATAATCGTAAAATCGAAACCATATACGGAAATCTTAGAGTCTGAAGGCCACGATTAATTTATCTTATAATATAATTAAACATTGTAGCGTGGCTAATGAAAGTTTCCAATTTTTCATATATTTTTACTTAAGTTGCCTTTTATTTTTCAAGTTATGCTTCAGTACGGAATGGGAATTTGTATGATGCACATAGAGGAAAAATTAGCAAGATTTACCTGGGGTGGACATAATTACTTTATATTTTATCATCCAGAATCGGCTCAGGTATTGAAAATTTCTTAATATCGTATTAAATTTTAATTTATTTTGTGTAATTTATAATATTTATATATAAATATATAGGAAGTTCTAAAGAGTACTACAATCATCAATAAAGACTGGGTTTATAATATCCTTCATCCTTGGCTAGGACAGGCTCTTCTTACAAGGTAAGGTAGATACATTTTAAAGACAATTTATAAGTAAAAAATTCAGTAACAATTATATTTGTTAGCACCAACAATAAATGGAGAAACAGAAGAAAATTGATAACTCCTAGTTTCCATTTTCGAATTCTCGAAGATTTTCAAGATATATTTAATGAACAATCGAATATTTTAGTAAAAAAATTAAAGAAACAAGCAAAAAATGGCGAATTTGATATCGTAGATGTGGTTAATCTTTGCGCTCTCGACATAATCGGAGGTAGGAACTCCTAAAACGTAAACTTTCGATGGCTCATCAAAATTATTATAATTGGTTACGTATTGTGTTTTTACTTTAATAGAAACGGCTATGGGAGCACATGTCGATTCTCAAACCCATAAGGATAATGCCTACGCTCATGCAATTCAAGAGTAAGTTGTCTAAAATAATACATTTCTGTTATATACATTATATCACTGTTACAACGTCCATTATAGTTTAAATAATATAAAGTCTAATAACAAATTTATAAATGACAACTCTTTTGTAAGATTTTTCAATTAAACACATTCAATATTTAAATGTTACATTTATATAAAAGAATAATACTATTAAAAGCACAATTAATTGTTGATAGTTTAGTTAATTGGTTCCTGAAATAAGTCACATATATACAAGTCAACAATTATTTTCTAAATTAGTACTGTGTAGTTGCATTCAAAAAACGATAACAAAATCTTGTTAAATAATACTAAAAGCTTATTATAGAGAGTTTATATTAATCAACAAAAACACCCTACAAAGAAATCTACCAACAAGTTGTGTAACTTTCGTGGCCATTTTATTTAAAAAATAACTTTTATATTATTAACCATTATAAATAAATCAATTAAATTGTGTGTCGCGGCATCTGTTATAATATTTTTATATATTTTTAATTATTATAAAATTGTAAAACGGTTAATTTAGAGGGTAGAACTAAGTTTTATTTTTAAAAAATGTATAAATGCGAACGTGTAAAATTTTCACGAAGTCTGCCTCACTCGAGATATGACATGTAACTAACCTCTATTTCTCCACCACTTTTACCTTTAACCACAGAAATTTAATAGCATCAATACAGAAGCTACCATGCGAAATTTCGTTTCTTACTCTTTACTTCATCCTGAGATATTAAACGAAATAGACTCCAACACACGCATACACACCGTACATATTTATGGACTAATTTTACTTTTTTGGGATGAATTAGTCTCAAAATGTGATTTCGAAAGAACTTCGGAGATTCAAATTTGACAAGATAAGAAAGGAAAGGCCTTGTGATGTATACATAACAGCAAGTAAAGTAAAAGCATTAGTTGTATTATTTATAAGCGTAGAATAAATTCGTCTTAACACATGTTGTAAATCATGGAATGTAAAAAGCATTAGCTCTTATTACAGATTTTCATTCTAAACGCCTACTGTTATATACTATATAATACTTTATATTTATTGTATTATATGTAAGGCTGTTTAAATTATCTAAATGTATATCTAAACATGGAAAGTTAATAAAAATATATTATATTTTTGTTCCAAACAGTATTTCCTCATGTGTTCTTCAATGGTTCACAAAACCATGGTATTGGTTTTCTCCTATCTTTAATCTAAGTCCGTTAGGAAGGAAATTCAATAAAGGCATCGAAGTTGTTCATCAGTTCGATAGAAAAGTAAGTCGAAATTTTAATATCTATCGTAATTAATTAAGACGTCAAATACTTGATTAACTTTTTCTGTGGCACTAAAACTAACGAATTTGTGAAATGTAAATAAATTTTCCTTCTTCTATACTTGGGAAATGTAAAAAAAAATTAAAGAACAATTATTTTAACTTAATTAAGAATACGAAAAATTATACAATTTACCTATTTCCTATATATATAAGCCTAATAATAATCATGCTTACTGTATTATATATTATGCATTAATTTCTAAACATACGTTGTATTTTGTTATAAATACATTGTAGGTGATTCGAGAAAAGAAAGAAATGTTCTTAGAACAGATGAAAGATAACATGGTCATCGATAATTTTGAAGAAAATAAAGAAGGTTTTGGAATTAAAAAGAGAAGAGCATTGTTAGATATGTTACTCTATCATCACATGAAAAATGGTACTTTGAGTGAAGAAGATATCAGAGAGGAAGTGGATGGCATCATGCTAGCTGTATGTATTTTACTGTAAAGACTGTCATTCTGTTGTAAATTTTAAAATTGTCATAAAAAATAATTCGTTATTTTTATTATTTTATATCAGGGTCAAGATACTTCTACTATGGGCGTTAGTTGGACGCTGTACTTTTTGGGCCTTTACGATGATTTCCAACAGAAAGTGTATGAAGAATTGTACCATATTTTCGGCGATGACGTTGACAGAAAGATTACAACAGATGATTTAAAGAAAATGAAATATTTGGAATGTGTTATTAAGGTCTTATTTTTGCACACTTTTTCCTAAACTTTTGATAATTGATAAGTTCTGATTTTTGCAAATAAGATGAGTTTGTATAATTGATACATATGCTTGTATATACTGTATTAATACATGTTTTACGTTAATATATTAATAGCTCGAAATTATTAGGCTTCCACGTTGAAAGAAAACATTTGATATATAATCAATTATAATTATTAATATTATTATATTTATAAATAATATAATACAGTTTTATTTTATATAGGAAGCATTAAGAATATATCCTCCTGTTCCTTTTATATTTAGAAGAAATCCATCATCTCTGATAGTTGGTAAGTTTTAATCATGTACTAATTTCTTCCCATTTCCCTATGGAAAATACGATTTTACCTATTCATATTTCATAGCAGTCGTTCATTGACACGTACTATTATCCAGTAAGGTAGAATTTTTGTTTAATAGGCTACGAATTTGCATTATTATACTTTCAGATTGTAAAATATTTTTGTAATTCAATCGATCATATTTGAATCAAGGATTTAGTTTGATGGTCTTGATAATGCAATAGAGAGAATTTAGGTAACAGAGAAATTATAGGTAACTATACGTTTTCAATAAGAAGATATAATAAATAAATAGATAAATTAAATAAATAAATAAATAAAGATTATTACGATTTATATAAAGTGGGTGGTTGTGTTTGAGAAGGAAGGAAACTGAAGGATATTGTACAATTTATCAGCAGAGGTCATTTGTTATTCGAGATTTATTACAAATTTTATTATAATCGTTTCGATATTGTCTGAATAGGCCAAGCAGTAACAAATTCACTTTGGTATTTTGAGGACACGGGTTCGAATTTGTGTAGGAACGGTCAAAAATTTTTCATGGACGATCTGATCCGGATATATTCAGACTCATACCACACCAGGATACAAGGATGTTTATATTAATCTATGACCCATACTCCACCAGAAATCCATGATAATGCCCGTTTCCATTGTGAATTGTTCGAATGATGAGTATGATTCAAAAAGTTCCATTAATGTCTTTAAGCTGGAAACGATTTCAAAAAATCTGCGATTCATTCCGATAATGCTGAGTAATAATGGAATTCTATGTCAGATACAGAATACACCTGACATAGAACTCCAATATTCCGTGATGAAAAGGATCGCAATGATACTTTTTAAATTAAACTATGTAAGAATTTATGTATGTCATTACATTTATTAATTTTATTGATTTTATCGTTAAAATTTTACATCATTTATTTAAGATTAAATTATAATTTATAGACGGATATAATTTGCCACCGAATTCATCTTACATTATCGGCATTCATGCCATTCATCACAATCCTACTGTTTTCGAAAATCCCGAAGTGTTTGATCCCGACAGATTTCTACCAGAAAACTGTGAGAAGCGTAATCCGTTTGCCTTCTTGCCTTTCTCTGCAGGACCACGAAATTGTATCGGTAAGTAATTGATGTATTTACTGAAATTTTTATACAATGCTTTACGATGGAATTGTTTTTACCACAGGACAAAAATATGCAATGGTCGAGATGAAGACAATCTTAGCAAACATACTTCGTCAGTTCAAAGTTCACTCTTTGGATCCTCGAGATAAAATTTTCGTGTCCGCAGACGTTGTGCTTCGCCCAATATTTGGAATAAGAATGACCATGGAGGAAAGGAATAAAAATTAAGCTGTCACAACAACACATTTTATAAACTTTTTTCAGCTTACATTTATTAAATCAAAGTTGAAAAATCGAAATTATATTAGTATTCTATGAAGTAACAAGAGTGTGCTTCATTATATTTTTGAAGGGTACTTCTTGCACACTGGATTACTCCGAATACTGTATTTCCATAAAGGAATTGGCTTCATATAATTTGCTTTATAAACAATTATGTATACAGCTGCATGAATTATTTTTATTTTTTTAAACTCATTTATTTTTAAAATAAGTCCATCTAATTGCTTTTGAAATTTATATTGCTAATTATATTTATTGGGTTTTTGGGTTTTGGACATGTGTATTTTGGGTTTATATGTATCTTATTTTTGTCTAGTTAAAGTGTTATACTGCATTCTCACACAATCCACGTCTTAATTTGATCTCAATTTACCCACAATCTGGATTGTAACTGTCGCTAGTCGAACGTTGAGTTGTTCGCACAGGCAGTCCGCTTGAAAAGAACCCAGTTATTGCACGGGATGAAAAAACTGATATAACTAAGCGGTGAGTCATGAACACCAACAAACAAATAGAAGTTTTCGTTAGAAATAAATACCTTTTCTCCATATAACTAAGAATAGCCAGATCTCATCGTCTCTCCGAATATCTTTTTTATTTCTTCCTGGATAGCCCCACACTTCTTCTGCAGCCATTTTGTGGAAACTCTCTTATGAGTAGATCTATTTTCAAAACGTCTCTTGAGCTGATTGCAATTAAACCTTGTTTCATTCGAGATTTAAACGGTCGAGAGAGAGATGGCAGCACGACACAGTCGCCGATCTTATCACAATCTAGATTGAAATGTTTAGTGCGAACGGGGTATTATCGTGTCTTAAATTTTAAATAGTACTCCTAATATATTTTCAGACAATAACGTTAATATATATCAGAATAATAATCAAATAAACTGGACCATAGAAAATGATAATAATACATTACAAAAATACAGATGAACTTAATATTTTAATCAAACGGATAAAATTTATGCATAATCATCGGAAACAGGAATAAATCGGTTTTTCGAATAAATACTATCATAAAAGCGTCTCTGGCGGCAAACACGCGAAACTTACATGGTTTACTAGGAAAATTTATTATTGATGTATTAATGTATAGTGATTAAAATTATCTTTTTCTCAACACTGGAACAAATATACTTTAAACGTTGCTTAAAGTATGTTTACGTAAAGTGCGCATAATAATGATCTTGGAAAAGCAAAAGAATAAAAATACAAATAATTAAAAACTGAACTGCGCAAACGATTACCGCAAACAATTCCGGTCGTTGTTCGTTCGTTTTCTTTTCGTTTTTCTTTGTCTCTTTATTGTTACGATTGTTGATTCGCTTTCCGTTTCTACTATTTTTCCTTACCATGTAATTATAAATTCTGTCTTCAATTCTGATTATTATTTGGTCCTGTCATTACTATTAATTAAACAGTAGAATTTACGCATAAAGACTATTATACCAGTGGCGTGCCGTCATTTTTTAGAAAATACAAGGGAAACGGCGCTTCCACCGCTTCCCTTGTATTTTCTAAAAAATAGATACATATTGCGCGATTATTTTTATATTTTAACGTACTTTGAATTAATTAATTAAAATAAATACTTTATTATAACCGCATTAAAATATTATAATTATATTATATTAAAATTATATCTTATTAAAAATTTCTGTACTACATGTGAGAAAAACGATAACATTGCTATTGTATATTCGAATATAAATTCGTACATGCATATTTCCAATGGAAGCGTTGTATTGTCAAATACGGGACAGCTTCCAGGGCGAAAATATTTTAGCGGTGTAAAGCAGTCAGATTATAAACAATTGCGTATGCGCTTTACAGAGCACCAACCTTAGGCAGTTGCTTTAGCTGGTGGAAGCTACACACCAAAACGTTTCCAATGATTCTATCCAGGACCGGTTGTGGGCTGTTAGTCGCCTGCCTGCTAGATATTTGGCCGCCCTGGCCCGATTATGTGAATCGCGAGTAAATTTATAGGAGTATACTGGTATGTTTTTATGATAATTCTGTATAGTTGACAGGAGTTTTAAAAAATCCCATTAAATTATTTGGTATATTTGTTCTGCTCTCCCATCTTCTATTACTTATAAGATTTCAATGTTAATTAACTTATCAAAAATCATTTATTTATTACGTCAGTTAGTCCGAGAAATCCATTAGCAATCAAATAAAATAAAACAAAAGAAATTTTTAGGTTTCTAAGCCGGTTCGAGAAGTAGTTATCTAGGTCGGCATCCCCAACCTTATCTGACCCCACGAAACACTAAACTTACAATTTCGAATTTCACTGCCCACTATTATAAATTTTTTTTAACGATACGAACATCTATAGAATAATGATCACAGACGTTCCATTTTATTTTATTTTATTAATACGAAATCCACTTGTTCAATTTCTACAAATAAGTGTGAAGTTTGTTACTGCTTCGAAAAATAAGTTTATAAATTTTTGGATCTTTTTCACCAAGGACGACAATCACGCACATTCTTTATTGATAACAGTCATTTCGTGTTCAGAGTTTTATTATTCGTATCTAAAACTAATGAGTGAGAAAAAGTAACCAAGCATTTTGCATTTCTTTTGTAATACTTTGTGTAACTTTCAGTTGATTAATGTCCACTAAAATTTTTTGCGGACCACCGGTTGGCCACCGCAAATCAAGGTCACACAAGCTGTCTGAAGCACCACTTTCACCCACCGTTTATTGTCAATCATACGTGGTTTGCGTTTTATAAAAAATTTCTGATGTTTATTCGATGGACGAACGTTAAATTAATTATTTTATATAAATTATAATTCCGGCGAGTTTATGAAAATACTGTATCAAAACACCATTCGAGTTATTAAAACAGATTGATGAATTCCAGTTAACCAGTTAGCTCTCGACATAATCGGAGGTAGGAACTCCTAAAACGTAAACTTTCGATGGATCATCAATATTATTATAATTGGTTACGTATTGTGTTTTTACTTTAATAGAAACGGCTATGGGAGCACATGTCGATTCTCAAACCCATAAGGATAATGCCTACGCTCATGCAATTCAAGAGTAAGTTGTCTAAAATAATACATTTCTGTTATATACATTATATCACTGTTACAACGTCCATTATAGTTTAAATAATATAAAGTCTAATAACAAATTTATAAATGACAACTCTTTTGTAAGATTTTTCAATTAAACACATTCAATATTTAAATGTTACATTTATATAAAAGAATAATACTATTAAAAGCACAATTAATTGTTGATAGTTTAGTTAATTGGTTCCTGAAATAAGTCACATATATACAAGTCAACAATTATTTTCTAAATTAGTACTGTGTAGTTGCATTCAAAAAACGATAACAAAATCTTGTTAAATAATACTAAAAGCTTATTATAGAGAGTTTATATTAATCAACAAAAACACCCTACAAAGAAATCTACCAACAAGTTGTGTAACTTTCGTGGCCATTTTATTTAAAAAATAACTTTTATATTATTAACCATTATAAATAAATCAATTAAATTGTGTGTCGCGGCATCTGTTATAATATTTTTATATATTTTTAATTATTATAAAATTGTAAAACGGTTAATTTAGAGGGTAGAACTAAGTTTTATTTTTAAAAAATGTATAAATGCGAACGTGTAAAATTTTCACGAAGTCTGCCTCACTCGAGATATGACATGTAACTAACCTCTATTTCTCCACCACTTTTACCTTTAACCACAGAAATTTAATAGCATCAATACAGAAGCTACCATGCGAAATTTCGTTTCTTACTCTTTACTTCATCCTGAGATATTAAACGAAATAGACTCCAACACACGCATACACACCGTACATATTTATGGACTAATTTTACTTTTTTGAGATGAATTAGTCTCAAAATGTGATTTCGAAAGAACTTCGGAGATTCAAATTTGACAAGATAAGAAAGGAAAGGCCTTGTGATGTATACATAACAGCAAGTAAAGTAAAAGCATTAGTTGTATTATTTATAAGCGTAGAATAAATTCGTCTTAACACATGTTGTAAATCATGGAATGTAAAAAGCATTAGCTCTTATTACAGATTTTCATTCTAAACGCCTACTGTTATATACTATATAATACTTTATATTTATTGTATTATATGTAAGGCTGTTTAAATTATCTAAATGTATATCTAAACATGGAAAGTTAATAAAAATATATTATATTTTTGTTCCAAACAGTATTTCCTCATGTGTTCTTCAATGGTTCACAAAACCATGGTATTGGTTTTCTCCTNGGCGTGAAATTTTATTTTGTACCGTAAATAGTACTTGAAATATTATAATGTACTGAAAATGTACTAAAAATCTAAATGTACTTTTAATTTACTGGAAAGGGCAAAATGTACCAGAAAAGTACAAATGTACTAGGAACGGCAACACTGATCCGAACTAAAGATGTGCGTGTCGTGTACCCAACGGCTGCCTATATCATCACACCAGGTGCAGGGCCCCTAAGCCAATATCAAATGCAAGCAGGCGATGAGTGGTCTGCTCGGAGCCTCCAGACACGTATACGGTCATCAGAATGCTGCACGCAGAACCGGGACTTATCTGAAAAGACGACATCGTGCCACTTCTGTATCTAGCTTTGTCGTTGAGTGCACCATAGTTTCTGTCTCTCTCTATGCTGCATTGTCAAGAGAAGCCGAAGTAATGGTCGCCGTGCTGACAGTCCACGCTGCTGCAAACGTCGTTGCACTGTAAGAGCAGATACTAGACGTGCTGCAAACAAACTCATTTCCTGACTAATGGTCCGTGGTGTGGTTGTACGGTTTTGCACGGCCGACCTCACAATATGTCTCTCCTCTCGAGCATTAGTCATGGGAGGGCATTGAGATCCTGCGTTCTGTTCAGTAAGACCCTCAGCAGCCCATCGATTCCATATTCGCATGACAGTGGTTAGATTTCGACCAGTGCGAGTGGCAATATCATGGAACGATAATCCACACTCTTGAGAGGCAATGATCCTGCCTCTATCGAATTCCACTACTTGCTGGTAAGCATTTCTTCTTATTATTCGAGGCATAACACGATATTTTGATGAAACTCCGACCTTACAAAGCGATTTCTGAACGAGAAATCCACTGCACAACTTTTTTTTATGCAGTGCTTCAGATGTCGTTTGTCCCTCCTGCATTGTCTAAATGCACTGAAATACTAATCATTTGCATATCCCAACCTCTTCTTCCTTTCATGTGATTTTGACGTTCATACGATCATTCCTTCCTGGTGTTGCAATTTTAATGGCCAGCAGTGTATTACAGAACCGTCTTCGAACTTAAAACCTACATCAATGAGCCAGTTTCGCAATAATTTCAGTAAATGAGGAGCATCTGCAAAAATATATACTTGATTTTTTTGTATTCGGATGAAAGAAAAACGTTTCATTGATATTCACATTCAATTCTTTCTATAAACTTATGTTACTGCGACTACAGTCACTGACGCAAGCTACTACATTATACGATAGTAAATAAAGTTCTGATATTAATTCTAAAAGTATTTCTCTTGTCATTTTTTGATCAAACCCGATATAAACAGGTTGCTTCCAATTTGAAAAAAGACCTCTTATCATGACGACTTGCATTTGATTGTAAGGTCCTAGAACTTCATCTGCAGAGACGTCATACTCTTCAGCTGCCTTAATTTTTACTTCATCAAATGAAAGCACCGCTGTTTTTTCAAAAGGTGTGCAATTTTCTCCAGCCAATTTCAACATTAATAAGACATCTTTCAATATTCCTTTTCGTAAATTTACTTGAGATGTTCATTTTTTCAAAGACGATACCCATGGCAAAGGATAATGCAGTTTATTTTTTTAAATATAAGTAGCATTTTTTGTTGTAATACCTTAATGTTAAGGCTATAGACATGTCTTCTGTGTTTCAGTTAACTCGTTTTTTCTTTTTTGATAGTAATGAAATTTGATTTTTTGAAAAGACCTGTGTCAACAAATCTGCAGCCATTTGGTTTGATTTTTGTACATTTAGACGATAGATATTTCTTCTTTTGTAATATTGTAATAAATCGTTTAATACTTTTATTCTTTTCTTATGATCTTCTTTCAATTTTTCATATTCTGATTTTAAAACATTATATTCTTCTAGCAGCTTCTTATATTTAATTTCGTAATGACATTCATCTTGAAGATTGTTACTATTGTTATTATTATTTGTTAAAAGATCATAAACTTCTTTTTGTTTTCTTTTTGAACGTCTTTCTCGTTCCGTAACTGTTGGATTCATTCTATCCGGAAGATTTAATGTAGGGATAGCTGTTTTCTTCAGAATCTTTCTTTCTGGTAAACCTGAAATAAAAAATATTTTTGAGTTTTATACTAACGTAAAACAAACAAATTAAACATTCACGCGCCAAAACAAGTAATATATATGAATAAAATCTACTTATGTCTTACCCAACAATTCCTTTTGTAAATCTCTTTCATAATCACTTTGAACAAAATGAACAAAACATATTCTACTTGTATATGGATTAAATTTATCGCTTCTTTTGCAACGATTAATCCATTCAGACCTAATTCTTTTAAAAATTAAGTCTTTTTGTCTAGGAAACACATGAAACATTACACTTTCTCCTTTAGCTTCTACTGCAAGAAGGTTGTTATTGCAACCATACACCAGCACACCTAGTACCCGGCATTTTCTTCTTCACCTAACATAAAAATATAGCTTTAAATATTTAATGACTTATATTTAAATCATCTTACCTTATAAAAAACTTAGTCAAATAAAACAATTACAGAAATATTAAAATAAATCACTTCGTTAATCACAAAATTGGACGAATATTAAGAGCGAAAACTAAACACGTTCACACCCTGCTCTATGTAAACAAAGAGGTCAGGTCTCGTGCTGACGTCACTAACTTGGCATTCCTGGCTAACATTGTGAAATAGGGATCTGGCTATCCTATACTACAAGGATAGCCAGGGATCTGGCTATCCTTGTAGTATATAGTCCTTGATCATAACTTCTTTTCTATGAACGGAGTTAACACTGGTAACGATTGTTATAACAGTGATTCCAAATAGCTTTTTAATAAAATTTCTGTAACTCGTTTAAAAAATCGTTATTTATTTAATTGTTTATAGGTATTAAATTAATGCATAAAAATACAGTAATTATTATTAATTTATTGATTTTTTAAAAACTAATTATTATTGTGATAAGGTTAAACAATAAAATAATTTTATTTTAGTAATTTAATCACGAGAACTAAACAATTACCACCAATATTTGAGGTAACAGCAAGAGAATTTAAGATATCCAAAAAATTTACACAAATATTTAGAATAACAATAAGACCTGTTAAGATATCCTAGACATTCTCACAAATATTTAGAGCAACGGGAGAACAAGTTATATCTGTTATTTGTATGTAATAGAAACTATTATGTTTTCAATATAGGCCTCTATATATAAAATTTCAACTAACATCCAAAATTTTGTCGGAATTCGTACTCAGCTGCTAGAGTTATTCGGAAATGAATTACAGTAGTTTCAATTATTTAAATAAAACATACTCAAATCCGAGATTTTACAACTTGTCAGTGTTTTTCACGGGCAACAAAATATTTTATATCCTGAATATTTGCATATTTAAGAAATCTTGGGATTAAATTTCATTTTAAATAATCATGTTCGCATGTCAATTTACAATTTTTATTAAAATTTGATATGTAAATAAACATATAATAACTTGACGAACAGATATTTTGTCACACAACACCTCTATCTACGTCACCCTTTATAATGTATAATTTTCGTATAAAAGAGCATGAACACTTTATTTCTTATTATAACATTTCGAATAAGAAGAAAGAACGTAAATAATTCAAACGCACGGTAAGTATTGTGTGAATTATTTGAATTTAATAAGCATTAAATAGCTCAAAATCGTTGCCCAAATCTTTTAAAACTGTTATACTTTTTAACAATAATTAATATGATAATTTAAATTACTGAAATTAAATTAATTTTCTTTTAATATTTTTTTTCTAACATTAAATATTCGAATACTTTTTACAGCAAATTAGTAGTTTGTAAGGTTTGATTGGTTGTTTTATGTTGCGAATTTTAGAAAAAAAAATATAAAGTCAACTAAATCGAAACCTCGTTAGTGATGGAAACAAATTCTGAGTTGTGATAAATAATTACTCTAAACGAAAATTAATCGTCATAATATTTATTTTAAAATATAACTACTACATAAGTTCGAAATGGGGCAAAAGTCAGTTGAAGAAAATATATTTTATAATTATACTGAAATCAACTACGGGCGCATTGTTCAAATTTGCTACCACACTGCTACATCAGAATATTTTTTAAATTTATTACCTCGTTAACATGTTTCTAGTTTATATTTTAGAATATTTCTGCCGTTTCTTTATTTCTCTGCTACCTAAATTGTTGCCGTGTATCCACTTTTATAAGTTATTTATGTTATATATTTTTTATAGTTTTGCTTTTAGAGAAATTCATTGTGTAGTAACAAATATTTTATTGGTGTTTTTGCCGTGATTTACAGATGAATACTATTATATATTTATACATTTTCTGTCAAATAATACATTTTCACAATAAAGGAAAGAAGTAGAAGAATGTAAGTGGATTGGAGGTTTCTAGGAAGAGCATGGTGTAGAAATAAGAATGAAAGATATCAGAACGATGCAGAAAAATAACTGATATTGTAAGAAACTTCACATTTCTGATTCCATGCAGGGTTAGGAAAGTGATAAGAATGAAACTTCTAAGGAAACTAGATAAGTACAGAGAATGTATACCAGAAATTTTAAAGTTGTAAATTTTAGAGAACCAAAAGTAATACAGTAAAATGTCGTTTATTCGAATCAATTGGGGACTGAGGTTGTTCGGAAAATCGGTATTTCGAATAACCGATTATGTACGAAAAAATATATAAACCTATCGCATGTTGGAATTTTTCTCCATTGCGTGTCGCTTCGGGATAAATTTTCGTCGATGTTAAGCCTAACTAAAACTATTGTATCGTTAAAAATGATTTTTTTATTTTGTACAAACAAAATAAATATATTGAAAAATATAAAAACAATAAAAAGTTATACTTCAGAAGTTAATTTAGTATCAAAACGTAAAATGTTTAAGTAGCCCAAGACATAGCCAAAGATTGCAGCGCCACAGCACTGGCGAAAATTTAAATTTGCCTACTGGAATACTTTCGGATAAACGACGCTCTACTGTAATTGACTACGTTTTGACGAAAAATGGGCATTACAAAATCAAACATTTTTATGCTATGATAAAATTTTCGTATATTGTTTCCAACATTCAAATTCCAAAGAAAGTCTATTGAAATAAAAAACAAGTTACTGATAATTTGGTCATAATGTATGTGACGTTTGGAGAGATCCGTATCCCTCGCAACCTTTACGTACTGAAACTGAATGAATTATCCATATTGAACAACGTACTCACTTTCGTGCATTTCAAGATGATTTCTATGACTGTTTTCCTTATTTTAATATTTTAAAGGCAAAAGGCCTGCACATAGTAGCAAAATTGTATTGTCACACCTCTAGTAAAAGTTCCGTTAACCCGTAAGAGTTTCGGTTTAACTGACTTTTGAATCATTCTATATATGAATATATTGTATTATTTTTTATGCTTTTTTAAATAATTTTATTTCAATTTTTAGATGGCCTTATCGGTTTACTTTATTTTTTTCCTACTTGCCACAACTGTTATCTGCTTTCCTTCTCCTTTCGGTAAGAATACTACATTTTAAATAGTGGGTACATTCCAGAGTGCATCGAAGAGTGTATCGGTCAACCACGATGTACAAAAATGTGTTCCGATATTTACTGTTGCAGCAACCTAATTTAATCTAACCCTTAATGTGTTTAATTGAAACATATGCTGTGTCGCTAGTAGTTAGTAGAAGTATGGTTACTAAAGTCATTGGAATGCATAAACTATTGTTCGCACCCTTCGTTTTCGTGCTAGAAACAACTACTCTCGTTCTGGCTGTCAGGTAGGGAAAATTGGCGAGAGTGGCGTTTATGTGTGTGTGTGTATTTTTAAAGGAGTTTCTATAGCGTTTTAACTTATTTCAGTTTGATTTTTTAACACGCGATCGTCTCTTCTAAAAGAAAAGAGACAGAAATCGTGAATTCACAATCGGTTTATTTCTAGTCAGTGGATGTAAATATTTGATACTCCGATTTGTTAGAACAGCAAATGGACATTTTTATATGATTCACAGAGTGCACTTTTTTGCGACATGCAGAAACGAGATATATGGCAACAGAAGTGGAGAAATAGTCAAGAAAGTTTATCTGTTTACATCAAATTCGTAACCGTAATAAAATATTTTATAATGTTATGTACAGTACGTACTCGTAAATGTTGCTAATAAACTGGATATTGAAGGGTTCTCTATTTATTTATTTATTAACTTTTATTCTTATAACACTAAAACGGTTTTATTTTAATAACCATTTCTAACTTTTGGTTTGCTCTCCATTTCTAACTTTTGGTTTGCTCTCCATTTCTAACTTTTGGTTTGCTGTCCATTTCTAACTTTTGGTTTGCTGTCCATTTCTAACTTTTGGTTTGCTGTCCATTTCTAACTTTTGGTTTGCTGTCCATTTCTAACTTTTGGTTTGCTGTCCATTTCTAACTTTTGGTTTGCTGTCCATTTCTAACTTTTGGTTTGCTGTCCATTTCTAACTTTTGGTTTGCTGTCCATTTCTAACTTTTGGTTTGCTGTCCATTTCTAACTTTTGGTTTGCTGTCCATTTCTAACTTTTGGTTTGCTGTCCATTTCTAACTTTTGGTTTGCTGTCCATTTCTAACTTTTGGTTTGCTGTCCATTTCTAACTTTTGGTTTGCTCTCCATTTCTAACTTTTGGTTTGCTGTTTATTTCTAACTTTTGGTTTTCTATCTATTTCTAATGTATCATTTAAAGATATTTTCTTGTTTAAAGAATATTTTCTCTTTTTTTTTGTGCCATTAATATAGATTTCAACAATGGAAACTATGACTCGTTTATAAAATTTTGGTGTTAGAGACTAAGCCAGTGGGGTGGTAAGCTGTATCTAATATTTTTAATGCAGTGCTTAAATAATATATACCAGAACACTTGTAGTTGTATATGATGGTTTCATTATTGCATACATTCAATTTAAGTCGTATTGGATATTAAAATGTCATTAAAATAATCTTGGAATTAATAAAAAAAATTTGTACATTTTTTAAAATACTGTATAATCAGTTTATAATATAAGTTTTATAAACTATTTTACATCTATATTTTATTCCTGTAAATTAACTGTATTTACTATTAACGAATCGATATTATTTTGTATGTTTTTAATGAATTTATTTAGAAAATATATTTTGCAGACGCTTTTGAATTTCTGTTTACAAAATTATTAAGGAATTAATAAAAAAAACTTGTACATTTTTTAAAATACTGTATAATCAGTTTATAATATAAGTTTTATAAACTATTTTACATCTATATTTTATTCCTGTAAATTAACTGTATTTACTATTAACGAATCGATATTATTTTGTATGTTTTTAATGAATTTATTTAGAAAATATATTTTGCAGACGCTTTTGAATTTCTGTTTACAAAATTATTAACCAATTTTTTAATGCCATAAGAACTTTTCTTGAAAAAGAGAAAATGGGTGCATTTTTAAAGTAATAAATTCTTTAAAAGGTAAATAACTAATTTTAAGGCTTTTAAGTAATTTTTTTATTGTTTTGTTTGGTTCAATGCCACGACTTGGTGAATTTATTGACACTTGGCAAATAATTTCATCATTAAGTTTTATTGCATATAGATATGCATTTTGGGCTTTTGCCCCTCTTTGGTCTGTTTCATAGATAGGTCGTATTTTATGGAAATCTGTCAGAAACCTTCGGCACTACGTTTTCCCACTTCTTTTCCCTTCCCTGTTAACTTGACAAAATAAGTTTGCAAATGCCAATATAGCGCCCTTTCCTTTCGTCATCTTATTAGGTCGCCAGACGTTTCAGTAAAAGCTTGTTATACCATTCACCGATGCACCGGTTGTGGCTGAGACTGATGCATACTGGAATGTATTCATTACTTATACAAAAATAATAAATAGATTCTAGTCATTATTTAAAAACGAAAAAAAAAAAAACATTAAAATTAAAATTGTTGTAATTATTTTTGTTTACAGAATGGAAAAAGCAGACTTTTATCAATGAGTAAGTTTACTTTTATTTATTTAATTATTTTAATTATTAAATGTTTATAATTCGTATAAAATTCGAATTTTATAGTGATTACAGCTGTAATAGTGACCGAGGATGCTGCGAAGATGAACGGTGCGATTTTCATTGTCCTGGACTATTGGGGATTAACTGTAAAGGTAGATGTGTCAAATGCTGATGATAACATTTCATGCATCTAACAAAAACAATAAAATGTTATTTTGGAAGATAGCAAAAAGATGGTAATAATAAGCTAATTGTTTTGTAACTGTTCTTGTGTATCCTAATGTATCCCACAAAGGGGAGGAGGATTTGATACGCTCGAGATTTTTTTGTTCTTTGCTATTTTCCAAAAAGAAGTTTTTAAAGCAAAAATATTGTGTAAGCGTAAACTTTTTAAATAGTCTTTATTTTTAAGCAACTATAAAGTGCGCGTAACTAGATCGATCCTGAAATTTTTCTTTACCTAGACCAGGGGTGGCCAAGCTCCTTGATAGTCCGAGCCATTTTTCAAAATTTGAAATTTTTCGCGAGCCGCAATTAAAGGTATGCAAAAAATTCCAGATTACAAAATATATCCGTAGCAAGAGTGATACAAATTGTTTCCTCCAGAGCACAATGTCAACTGTCCATTGCAATGACAGTTTACAAATTCAAAATCGGTCTGGAGTCGGTCGATAACAGACGATTACGCCACTGTTTATGTTCGTTCGCGCAGTTTTCGATGAGTCATATCATTCTTAACTTGGACAGAAATAAAATTTGTTACAACGTTGCACTTAGTCTTTCATATTTGCTGTTAGTAATTTAAAAGACATTTTGAAACACATATGGACGATAATAATTTTTTAAAATATAATAACACAAAAATGAAAAGGGAACTCGGGTACAGTACATTTATCGAGAGCCACAAATAATCCTTCGAAGAGCCACATGTGGCTCGCGAGCCACAGGTTGGCCACCCCTGACCTAGACGATATGTTCTGTACTATTTGAAAAACTCGTGTTATATAGAGAAGAGTTGCAATTTTGCTTCTTTTCGTACGTATATATTATTCACTCTCTTCAATAAAGATAATTACAGTAAGACCCTTCCTCTCTAATAAATCCAGCAACGAATCTGGATAGATCAAATCATCTTAAGAATTTTTTAGGTTGGTTCGTCCCACTTATGTAGGGTGTCGTACACCACCCGCTAGTTGCCCATTGTGAACCTGGCCGAATTCGCCATGGGATGATGACCCTACATATTAAGAAGTTGGCATTTTCCAAATTGGTCGGAGCTGCCATTGTTTGCAGGTAGTCATAATCGGAAAAACAGCGTGTTAACTTTACAACTTCTGGAAGAATGGCCCACTGTAAAAGGTTTGCGTGGATCGCTCGCGAAGAAACCATGGCTGTGGAGTCGGAGATGGAGTCGGAGTCAGAGTGACCAAAAATTCGCCGACTCCGACTTTTTTTTACTTACCAACTTATTATGTATATAAAACGGAAAAGTATTGCAATCGTGTCAAATTTGACCCTCCAAGTTTTTCTGCAAATCTACACGTTTGGAGACCTCCCGAACCCCTCAAAAAGTCAATAAAGGGGGAAAATTCGCGCGCGTGTGTGTGTTGGCGTCTAATTTGTTTAATTTCTTTATTTTCTGTTGAGATATTAAACAATATCTCAGAATGGGTAAAGTTTAAGAAACGAAATATGGCGCTGTAGCTCGCGTATAAAGAGGCATTGATACTATTAAATTTTAATTCTTAATTAAAGGTCGACAGGGTGAAAACATAAAAGTGGTCACGTGTCATATCTCTTAATAAAAGTTTACTCGTTATTAGATTTCAAATTTAAAAAAAAAATAAAATAAAACTCAAAGTAAGCTTTTATCTGCCATTTTATAATAGAACAGTAAAACCTGTTAAGATGTTCTCGCCTAAGACGTTAGACTGTATATAGGGACATGATTTAGTTCAACCACTTTGACGTTTAATAACCTACTCCTGTGTTAAACCATCTGACTCCGATTCTGACTACAGAAATTATTAGGCTTCAAACAGAGTGAACAATGTCATGCCCCGACAGTCTAACATCCACACATATAGAAAAAAACCTCCAATCTTTTGCATATCTCGAAATTTTCAAGGTGTCCTGTGTCCAAAAATGTAAAAATTTGGGAGGAATCATTTTTTGACCGAGCGCTACACTTTTCCTCTGTTATATATTAATATAACAGCCGGAAAAATAAAAATTACCGAATACATATTTATATGTTACTTAGAGAATCTTTTAGCTTTGTAATAAAAAGTTTCTACGTTCTATTTTTATTCGAACTCTATCTATTCAATCTTTTATTCTGAGGTCACGTAATGACATCAGAATTTCCGGGTCTCTTCTGGTAACAAGTCCGCCCCTGGTCAGAGTCGGAGTTGGATTCGGATGGTAAGAAAAAGTCGGAGTCGGTAGATTTTTACTCGACCTCACAGCCCTGGAAGAAAAGTAAGCTATTATTTAAAATTTTTAATTTATTTAAAGTCAAATAGTTGAGTTGTTACTAAACGCTTTTGTTGTTTAGTTAAACACCCCTATAATAGGTTCGAAAGTAGGGTAACTCGTTGCTCTCATTCTTCTGTCAGGATGAGGCGAGAGGATGGAGACGTAATGGGGTAGTTGTGGCAGACACAGAGAGGTACATGAATATACACTTTTAATCGCGTTTATTTTAATTTGAAATATTCTTACACTTATTCGAGGCGACACTCGAAATGGGCGAAAGTCCGGGTGGGAGTTGATGATTCCGATTAATAAATGTTAAATCGTTGAACGGGTGATGAATAGGACGCAGCTATGGCGAATACCTAGGCGTTGGGTGAGTGAGGAGAATGTGATCGATTGCCTGACGATGGTAAAGCAATAATGAGAGTGTTTCCCTTTCTCGATTTGTCATCGTTAGGAGATCGATCAGATCCAACACCTCCCTGACTAACATGAGCCGAGAAGCATTAAATTACCCAAAAGAGATAAACAGTTGGATCTGCAGCCAACACACAATCTCAAAGACTCACACTTTACGTTATGCAATGGCAACTTCTTTGGCACCAACGACAACTAACGACCTGCGATGGCGGCAACTCACTTCGTTCTTGGTGGTCCGCCCCTTTTATATGATCCGTGATTCGGATTGTGCGCAATCCTTAATTTTTAAAAAACGTGAAAAAGGAAAGAGAAAAACACAAACAAGTGAGAGAGTTTCAGACCTCACAAATATTTCATACCAGGAGAAAATAGAGCTCGATTTTCCCGTGGTTACGATTATATAATTAACAATAGTTATTTAAGTTAATTAATAAAATTTCAATGTTTTTACTTTAACACAAAATTGCGAGTTTTAGAAATCCCGGATGCAGGGAAGTCAATATATTTTAAAAGACTAGCAGCAATGTCATTTTTTTTATGACCCCTCTCGGATACGTCCGGAGTTCCCAACATTTTGCCCGCGGAGCTATTTACATACATTCGTGGCAAAATTTTAAAATAATGAAAAAAGTTAAATGTTAAAAATAAAAAAAAGAAAAAGTTACTTAGCCTAGATGTAGTGAGAAAATCGCTAAATTGGGCTACACTGACGACTGTCTAATTTATCACGTCTATTATAATCGTGTTTATACGGTATTTATATTGTATTAGTAGTATTATATTAGTTATAAACTCGTATTCTTTCATCACATGCTATCGTTGTGTTGTGATTTTTTGTACATAAACATTTTACCTCAAAATCAGTAATCCAAGTAAGAAACAGAAAACCTAACATTTTAATACAGTTTGGGAAGACGGCTGCTTTGTTATCGAAAGTAAAAAGAAATGTATTTGCTTAATATGCAACAGTTTAAAATAAATCACAGTTCTTACGAGGTTAGTTACAAGGTTACGTAACCTAATCTAATATTATTCGCCTAAAAAATGATTTGGAAGAATGTAAGTATTTTTCACTACAATTAGACAAGTCAACAGATACATCAGATACAGCGCAATTGGCAGTAATGATAAGAATGGTATTCAGTAATTTTAATTAAAAAGAACTATTAAAGTTACTATCAATGAAAGAGTGAACAAATGTGAAGATATTCATGATATTTTTAAAAATATCTAACAGAAATTAATATGCCTTTACAAAAGTTATTAGCAATAATTATTGATGGTAGACCAGCAATGGTGGGCTACAATAATAGATTCATTTCCCATTGCAAGAAAGATGAATCCTTTCTGAACTTTCTGAACCTTTCTGAAATATGTATTATCACTGCATCATACATTATTTGTTAAAATAATTAACCACATTCGAGCAAATCCTTTATCACACAGATTGTTTAAACCCTTTGTAGAAAAGGACGAATCTTTCCAAGCTGACCTTGGTTAATTGACAGGAGACAGGTTTAAAACTAAACAAGCATTTATTAGGGGAGACCGGGGCAAGATCGGCATGTTAAGCTTTACTTAAATTTTGTGTAATAAATACTGCTGTAAACTGAAAAAAAAGCTTTGCATATTGTCTATTGGAATGTTTTCTTACTATAGAACTGGTTAAAATCAGTTTGGAAATAAAAATAATAAAAATAATTACNATAAAAAGTTATACTTCAGAAGTTAATTTAGTATCAAAACGTAAAATGTTTAAGTAGCCCAAGCCAGCGCCACAGCACTGGCGAAAATTTAAATTTGCCTACTGGAATACTTTCGGATAAACGACGCTCTACTGTAATTGACTACGTTTTGACGAAAAATGGGCATTACAAAATCAAACATTTTTATGCTATGATAAAATTTTGGTATATTGTTTCCAACATTCAAATTCCAAAGAAAGTCTATTGAAATAAAAAACAAGTTACTGATAATTTGGTCATAATGTATGTGACGTTTGGAGAGATCCGTATCCCTCGCAACCTTTACGTACTGAAACTGAATGAATTATCCATATTGAACAACGTACTCACTTTCGTGCATTTCAAGATGATTTCTATGACTGTTTTCCTTATTTTAATATTTTAAAGGCAAAAGGCCTGCACATAGTAGCAAAATTGTATTGTCACACCTCTAGTAAAAGTTCCGTTAACCCGTAAGAGTTTCGGTTTAACTGACTTTTGAATCATTCTATATATGAATATATTGTATTATTTTTTATGCTTTTTTAAATAATTTTATTTCAATTTTTAGATGGCCTTATCGGTTTACTTTATTTTTTTCCTACTTGCCACAACT